AGTCAGAGCGAGAAAGCGTGTGAGCGTGCGGGCGAGAGAGAAAAAGACAGCGAGAGAGTGGTATAAGAAGCGAAAGAGAAGGAGGGAATAACAGGGGGAAGGGGGCTGTACATATTTCACATCTCAGTGAGCACAGAGAGAGGACAGAGAGAGAGAAATGACTGGAGATTAGAAATGGAGAGTGTAAGAGAGAGAAATAAAGACATGGGGGAGGGAGGGTGACATGAATGTGAGAGTTTTAAGTTGAGTTTGTTAAGTTCACAATTAAGCTACTAAGTGGCAAGAAGAGGGAGTAAAAAAGCTTTTTATGCTTACAATGACCCTGTTTATGTGAAGCATTTTTTAATAACATGAAATTTAAGACCCAATCAGACACGCACTGTAATCCGTAAATGATCAGCCAATTTTGTGCCATGTTTGAAAAGGAACACAGAACTCTCCCAAGTCATCACTACAACAGAGGTGAACTCTGCAGTGTTGTAGGTTTTCTCTTGCAGCCCAGTGCTGTTTGCTTCCAGGCCAATCTTTCTGGATAGAGTATAGAGGTTATGTACAGTTTTGATTGTGGTTTGGTGAAACAAGTCCAACTTGGATCTCAAACAGGGGCAGATCTCAACAAATATTCATGGGCTGGCAAGCGGCTGGCATGGTGACCTTAAGGGGTGGCAGAAATACATGCTGATATAATCACAAATAATCACATATGTCGATATAAAGTCTCCAAACAAATATATTTTAACTAAAAAAACAATATTATTGTTGCACATTTGTAAAACAATGAATAGAAATATCTAAATGTGCCATTAGAAATCAGCATTTTTCCAAATACATGTCTTTTTTTTGTTGAACTTAAGCCTCACTTGCGGCCATAATTATGTGTTAATTACCTTTTTTTTTTATAAATCTAAATTAATGTGTTAGATTTGACAGCATTTGACACCAAACTGGCCTAGCAGCTGGGGTGGCAAGGCCTTTTTTAGGGTATGGCAGCTGCCACTCGTCTAGATCCGCCCCTGATTTCAAACCTTTTGTCCGAGTCTCTAATGATGCACCATGATGATATAACAGTGACCTATTTTCTATCTGATTACTTTGATGTATGGGGTGTGTAAGGTAGGATCTAAGGTAATAATCAGTAACCATTTTGTTACTGGATGTAATAAGAAGCAAGAACCAATGCTTGCTTGCATGTAGTCACCACACATCAAGGTATCAGCTGTTAGGAAGTCATTTGTTGCACGGTGTAGATGCACATTGCAGAATTTTGTAAATTTTAGGATTAGTTATTGTTCTCATATGTTTCTATGTTTCTGCTGCTGTACATGACAGCTACTTTGCACCTCGTCTTAATGCTGTAATCTAACCATTTGTCATTAACCTTTTCATTTTTCACTTGCTATGTATCACGTTAGAACTGCCAGCAGCTGCTTATGTTGTGTGGTCCTGTCAGTGTCTCCCTCTCTCGATCGGATGGTAACGAGGAATTTGATATTAGCTTCAGTTTTACGACTTTCCCCGTTGTGCTTTAAACTTTTACAGATATTTTATGGTCACATAATCATCAATTACAGTATTATTGGCACTAAAATCCTTACTGGTCATTCTTCATCTTAACATAAATCATCTTGTCTTGTCATTTTGCTGCTGTAATGTCTGACTTTCTGAACACCGATCATTAAATTTAGCCTATGTTTTACTGTGGACTGTACGGCTGCTTGGGTGATATCATAGGCAGGAGATAAAATGTCAAACGATGCTGATATACCAGACATTTTATTAATTTATGTACTTTCATTACTTTATTTATTGAATCCCATATTTGTTGTTGCTGTGATAATATAATTTGGTCCTGGACAAAATTAACTAGTGTCTTTGATTTTAACAACACTCTAAATTTTTATGATTAAATTTTACCACAGCAGGACACACACACACACGCACACGCAGGCACATAAGTTCTTATTTCCCTCTCCATCTCCATATCAATGGCTGCAGGCAATCAACTAGGCTGGTTCACACCAGGGTGCCTGGCACACACACCACCACACACCCACCCAACCACCAACACACCACCCACACAACACACACACACACATTCACTCAGCCTCTGTCTCCATTATTTTAATTCTCTTTTTCCTACTTCCTCAGCCCTAAATCTTCGTCTCACTCACAAACCCACAAATGTATCACCACAAACAAATTCATGTTTAAGCCATTAGGTCAAACTTTGGGGGAAAAAACTGTGTTGAAGCCTTATATGTTCGCTCAACTACTACATTTTCCATTTTCCAAAAAATAGCAATATATGCCAAAGAAATCTTAAAAAAGGGGAAATTGTTAGTAGAAAATCCAAATTATGTACAGCAGGATTATTCTCTACCAAACAACACCAGCAGAATGTAAATATAAAGAATGGTCTGAGGCACCCTGGTAGCTCACCTG